AAGGGAGATGTGATTTTATAAGAAATCACCAGAGTTCTCCAAAGTGATTTCCATTTTCCAAGCCCATCAGCATAATATGAGAGTTTCAGTGGCTTTACGTCTTCGGAAACATGGAGTATTTGATTTTAGGTATTAAAATGTGTATTTAGTTGTATTTCATTGTGGTTTTCATTTGAGTTTTCCTGATGACAGATAATGCTAGCCTGCTTTTATGTGTGTGTGTGTGTGTGTGTGTGTGTGTGTGTGTGTGTGTTTATTCCTGTATCAGTGTGCCTTGTATGTCAAGGCTTTTACTTTCCATCATCAGTGTTATTATTTTTGTGGTGCTGGGGATTGGAAACAAGACCTTGTGAGTTCTAGGTAGAAGCTCTATCATGGAGTTTATTCCACAGTGCTGTTATTGTTTTTAAATCATTTAGGGGGTTCTTAAATATAGTTGGGCCACACGTTCTTTGTCAGAAATACCCATTACAAATATTTTCTCTCAGTGTTTGACATATTCTTACAGTGCTTTTATGCACAGAAATTTTAAAGTTTGATGAAGTCTAATGTATTATTATTACTATCATTTTCTTTAGTGGTTAGCTTTTCGTGTCTTGTCCCAGAAATCTTTGCTTACTGTGAAGTTGACGAAGTTTCATTTTCTATGAGTTTACTTGGTTCCAGCTGGTATGTTCAGTCTATGGTGCGACTCGAATTAATGTTTTTTGCATGCGGTTTTTGGTGTAACATTCAGATCTCCTCCAGTGTTTTGTCACCAGGTAGTAGAAGGATTTTTCATATTTCACTGACTTTATCAAAACTCATGTGACTGTAGGGTGTGTCCACTTCTGTTCTTTCCACTCTGTCCACTGGTCTGTAGCTTTATTCTTACACTAATTGCATGCTTGCTAATCACTGTAGGTTTATGGTTATTCTTGAAATAGACAATATAGGAATTTCACCTCTATTCTTTTTTTCATGATTGCTGGGCTATGCGAGGTACTTTCCATTTTAATGTACATTTTAGAGTCAGTTTTAAATTTCTTCAGAAAATTCTAATAGAATTTTAATTGTTGATTACATTAAATTTGTATCAATTTGAGATAATGCTCACCTCATAATATTAACATGCTTATGCCAGAGATTGAAAATTTTGATTTTTGCATGCATTTATGTGTTTTCTACAAAATTTCAAAGAACAAGTGTTTGAAGAGAACAAATTCCATTGTGTTCTACTGTGAAGGATATTCCAGAAATGAACCATTAGGCACCAAGGTGTTAAATTTTTCATGAGTCAGTCTGTGAATGATGTGAATGTATCTCTATCAATTATGGGCTTTAAAATATATCTTAGAAATGTTTCATAGTTTTTAGTGCATTGCTGTACATCTTTCAGCTTGGGGATTTATTCTTTGATACTATATTTTTTGCCAATTTAAATAAATAGCACTGCATTTAACCTTAAATGTTACTACTTTATAAAAGTAAAATTAGCTTTTATATATTGACCATTTGTTTTGAGGCCTTTCTATATTCACTTATTGGTTCTCATAGTGCTTTATTTATTTTTGCAGCTACTATAAGGTTTTCTTTATTTACAATCATGAATAATGAATAACGACAGATTCCCTTCATTTTTCCTAATCTTGTTTCTTTTCTTACCTTACTGTACTGATGAAGGCTTCTAATTCATTGCTGAACAGTTGTAATGCCTAAAGCTTCTGTACCAATCTTAGTGAGAAAGCATTCATAATTTTAAATAAAATGCCATCTGTATTTTTTTTTAATGTAGACATCCTGTATCAGAATGAATGTTCGTCACGATGAATGGTGGGTTTTTTTCAGGTGCTTTTCTACATCCAGTAAGATAATCCTGTGACAACTCTTCCTGTAGTCAGTTCTGGCGGCAGCCAACAGTCATAAGTATCTTTTGTGAAGATGGTGAACACAAAGTGGTTTTTCTCTGATATTTATTTTTTCTGTTGAAGTTATGACTGGTAGAGCTACAAAATTATTTTCTCCTAAATCATTGTCCTTTCAACAGAAAATTAGAGAAATCTGCCCCTTTTGCTAGAAAGTAGCATGATTACAAGATCTTGGCACTGTGTCTGGGGGAAGTGGAAGGATAGGAAGGATTGGACCCCGTGCTGGAAACAGAAGACCTAACAGATAATGAAGCAACACTTTCCCCCAACTTTATTCTGGTTTTCCTTTTGGGAAATTAAAGCACACTGTAGTTGGAATGTGGAAAGAGGGGCTCAGTGTTTTTAAGGTGTTTTAGTACTGAGCTAGGGGCATTGTATCCAGAGAAACAGAGCAAACTTAGTTTTGGTCATCAGATTTCTGTTCTTCAATCTTAGGGAGAGTGTGAGGGAGATGCTGAGGGCTGGATAAACATCACCATTAGTTTTTACAGAGACATTGGATGTTCCAAAAAACAATCCTGTGATCTTGTTATCTATTCTTGTAAAGAATTTAGATAATTTAAATTAAACAGACAGGAGCATTAGGAATGAAATTCTTAACTCTCTGGAGCGGGTTCCAGAATACTCTGCATGTCGTCTTCGCTCATGGTTTCTTGACCTCTGGACGTGGAATCTGCCCAGTTTGACTTTGGGCCTTATGTGCCTGCGTTCCCCATGCTGCAGTCTGCCCTCTCGTTCCCTTGCCATTTGGGCTCTCAGATGTCTGTTCGCTCTGCTTGCACTAAAAACTCCAACAGAGAGATGCTTCCTTTTCATAAATAGGTGAAACAGAAATTCTACACCTGTGTCACACTGTGGTGTCGTTGGATTTACAGTCATCCCCAGGCCAGTGCTGCGCTGTGGTCAGGAGAATGGGTGACTGACTGGCCAGACCTGGGCTGCATGTCTGCTCTTTTTGGGGGAAACGTATGTATTGAAAGGGAAGTGCAAGGTGAGCGAGGAAAAAGCAAAGCAAACACCACAGTGACACGGAAACAATCCAAGTACCTGGGGGTTCCTGATGACTTCATCCTTTGCTGTGTCTCTGAGCATGTTCATTGGGTAAGATCATTAATAATACAGTTAGCTGGATTTACAGTAAGCTCAAAAAATGCACTCGAAGAGTGTTGACTTGTGAATTAATGTAGGCCTCAAGCATTGTTCCCGGGCTCCTTCTGTCTGGTTTTGTATGTAATCCATTCTGGGTGGCATTTTTCATTGCATGAAAATATAATAGATATATTTACTGGATCTTTGGGTAAACTGCTTCTAGAATTTCATGTTTCACTGTCTGGTTAAGTTGTACAACAAATGCAAGAAGCCATAAGGCTCTCTATGTTTTGTTTTTGCCAGGTAAGCATGTAAATACCATACTGACTGCTATTTATTCATTTAACCAACATTTACTAAGGTAAGAAGTTTTATAGCAAAGAAGAGGATGAAAGAGAATGTCATGAAAAGACAGCCCTTCTCAAGGAAAGATAATTGGCTGCCTTAAACTGACATAAATAAAATAAAGTAATGGATTTGATACACATGATCGCAACATAAAAATTCAGTTTTCAAAGTTACAATCCATCTACTTTCTGTAATTTTCTCTCTATAAACTTGTCACTGGGCATTTGTATTTGACATCACATCACAGCATGAAATTTTGATGTCAGCCTGCAGACTTGATTGCTTTTAGACCTAGAAGAGAGTTCAGGTGCATATAGCTCTCCTGACAAAACAGAACTACACCCTTAGTGCCTTTCATTCGACTCCCATATTTTCCATTATACGAAGAGCAGATGGGAGCAACCCCCCACCCCCAGGCTGCATACACACATGCATTTGATCTGACACAATGCAGCTATTTCTGTTCCCTTTCCCCACAGAACAGAGGAGCTGTGATGGGAAGGATGATGTGGGTGCTGTCAGGTGCAGAACTCCTCTGAACTGTAGTGATCAGGCAAAGACCTCGATCCATGTTGATTGAAGTAGGTGACAAATATCTAGAACAGTGCTGCAGACCAGCAACCAGCCCCATCCAGCCAGGGCCCACTGTGTGGTCCCCTAACTGGGGAGCTGCTACTGGAAGCTATGAAGAGCTGGAAGGAGATGCTCCCTTGCTGAGTGCTGGAAGGAGGTCTGTATGCAGCTCCATGGGCCGGAACCAGGAACTGAAGCTGACAGGGTGGACTTTCATGGAGATGAATATGAAGCTCTTCCCAGTGGTCCAGAGCCTCAGTACCACAAGAGCAAGTCTGCCTTGAGAGCACTTCCATGAAAAAGACCTGGAGTTTTTAATCCATGCAAGTTCAGAATGAGCCAGAAGACTGCATGCCATCAGCCTTAGGCCACCTTAACAGGGCCACGATGTCCAGGTCATGGGAGATGGTAGTCCTCCTGGAGCTGGGTTGTTGATATGTGGACCACACCATTCTTTTTCCTCTGTGGCTGTTTCTTGAGCTTTGCGCATATTATATAGCAGCACCCCTGGGCCCTACTCAATTGCTGCCTGTAGCACGTCCCAGCTGTGGCAACCATACAGATCTCCAGACATGGTCAGGGACTGATGGACCCAGTTAGGAACCATTTCACTGAACACTCTGCTAGGAGCTTGTATTCATTTACTTCTAAGCTTTCTGCTTCCTGAGGAAAACTCACCAGTTGGTCTGCTGGGATGGACAGTTGAGGGCAGAAATACCATGGTGTTAACATTTGGAGAAACTAAGAATGTTTCGACTGGAGGCAGAAATTCCCCAGTGATGGGGGAGTCATTGTATTTGCAGAACAGCCCGTCTCTTTATTCTCTCACTTCATTATTATCTCTGTGGCTCTTTTTAAATCTTCTTTCAACCTTTCTTTGTGTTGGGCTTTGTTTTACTTTCTACTTAGGTTTAAATTTTTTGTTGCAATAAAATGAATAATAAAATTTTCCATTTTAACTATTAAAGTGCACAAGTCAGCAGCATCGGTTACTTTGTGATGTTGTCCATGACCATCGTGATCTAGTTCCAAAATATTTCACTGCTCCAAACAGCCCCTCAGTTTTATCTCCCTGCTCTACAGCAGGTACAGAGGGACCGCTCCTGCCGCCTCACCCTGATGCCCAGCCTTGGATAAATCCTACAGCCCATGCTCATCAGAGACTGTGGGACTGAGCCACGTCGGCCCTATGGGTACTGATTAGCAGCCTTAGCTGTGCTCTTCCTGTTGCTCCTCGGGGTTTGCACTTCCCAAATCCTCCCTGCACTATCGTCCCCTGAAGCTGTTTCGGCTGTTCCATTTTTTCTTATTTGACTCACTCCTTTATCTTCCTCTTCCACTACCTGTCACTTTAGTGCACTAAATTCTGAGGCTGTCTGAAGTGAATGTCTTCTGCTCTCTTTCCACTCTGGAATCTCACTGTCATCACCCACCTTCTTGTCTGTGGCTCATGCTATGAGGGGCCTGTACTCATCCTTTCTAAAATCAGGGTCCTGCCGGAATCTGTGCTCAGACCTCCTGCCGCAGAGTCTGGGGTCAGAGCCAGGCTGTGCTGCTTTTGTGGTTTTGCTGTGTTTTCCCATTTCTCCTTAACTCCGTGCCCATCAGCTCAGGCTATCATAACAAATTACCATAGCCTGCGTGGCTTATGCAATAGACGTTTTGTTTTTACAGTTTTGAAGGCAGGGAAGGCCAAGATCAGGATGGCAGCGTGGTTGCCTTCCTGTGAGAGTCCTCCTGGCCTACAGTTGGCCACCTTCTTGCTGTATCCTCACACAGCAGAAAAAAAGATGGGGAGCACTCAAGACCTTCTTATACTGGCACAAATTCTGACATGAGGATTCCTTCCTCTTGATGTCATGTGAAATCCAGTGCATCAAAAGCCCCATCTCCAAACCCTGTCATCGGGAGCTTCAACATGTGAATTATGTGGGGACACAATTCTGTCCATAGCACGTGTCCGTCTCTCTCCTTCCCTAAACCCCAAACAACTCTTCACCCCACTGCACCATTGCTAATCTTCTGCATCTCCAGTTCAGGCCTCCAGGTCTTCCCCCAGGACTCACGGTGCTGCTGCCCAACAGAGTGGTGTCCTGAAGAGCCCTAACGGTGTAGCACGACCTTGGAGACCTTCCATGAATCTGGCTCCAACGCAGCTGTCTCTTCTCATCACCCACAGTGTCCCTTTCCTGATGCCATCTCTTCCCTGCTTACTTATGGCCCTTGAGTGGATGTTGCACTTTTGAGTTGCCTGTCTTTACTCTCAGTGTCTTGTCAAACAAAGAGGTCCTTGTCTATGTGTCAGCCTCTTTACCTTTCTTCATGTGTACTCCGATTTCCTCTTACCCATCCTGGATGGCTTCAGTTCACATTATATGGGTTTCTTCTGGAATGTCTCCAAAATTCTATTTAACTCATCTTTGTTCTATGTTACTTTGTAGCTTGTCTTTCTTGCTATCATCTCTCTTAGGGTAGGGGCTTGATGATAGGAACCTTATCCACACTTAAGAACCTACAATGCATCTAATCCTGTTATACACAAGAAATAAAAGAATAAAAAATATATAAATATTTATTCTTCCAGAATACTGGGTACTTAGGTTCTTTGTTATTTCCCATACCTTCCTGTGCTCTGATGTGATTTGCTCTGTTTTTGTTTGCTGCAATTTTCCGTGGAGTTTTGGCTCAGTGCTCCCCTAAATGACTGACATAGGGGCTCAGTTTCAGAGCATCCATGGTCCTCACTGAAATGAGGACCACACTGAAATGCCTGGACATCTGGGTGCTCCTGCTTGATGCTGCAGGGGCTATGGCTGGTATTTAAGAGCCTGTGAGCACCAATAGAACCGCATCACTGCTGACAAGCCATAATATCCATGCTTGCTCCCTTCTCTTCAAGCAGAACCTCTGACTTTCTGTGCAGCATCTCAGAAGCCCTCATCATTCAGTAGGACAGCTTCGTCCACCTTTGGGCAGGCTGTCCTTTGACTCTACTAGGCCAGGTCAAGTAGCTGCTGGATTAAGTTGTTGCTAGGGCTGGCAGAACCCCATATAAATCACAAGCTTGGCTGAGGGTGCTGCGCCTAGTGGACCCCCGGAGATGCACTCACTTCTGTTGGACACAGCTGTCCTTCCTATATTGACCTGGAAACCAGCCCTCATGGAACCAGTGTTCGTGGGTCCAAGTAGGAGAATTGTTATTCCAAACATCCTGCACTTTGTTTCCTGCCCCCTAATTATTCCTGCTGTTCAAAGAGTCCACAAAATCTCTTGAAGAAATACCCATGGCATGTGTATGGTCGTCCTTGTAAATGCAGAATCTCAAACTCTGCTTAATAGTTCAGGGAGGAATGGGTAGACATCATTCGCTACCTGTAGGCTGTCATAACCAGAAAGAGAAACACTTATTTTCCTTTCCTGGGTGTCAATCACAAGTCCTAGAATACACAGTAGCTCTGTGGTATGGGCCGGGGAATGAAGCTGCCTGTCCCTGGGACATTGGGGCCTCAGCTCATTTATTTGAGCCAAACACCACATTCTCTTCACAAATGAAAATAGAAGGTTTAATACTTGCTTTGAGAAATGCCAAATGTTTTGGATACATGTCATCAGTGGAAGGTTTAGGCTAGATAGCACTTAGTTTTTACTTGTTAGGGTTCTCTTAAGAAACAAAATCAGTAGGAAAAATATCTATATCTGCTGGAGGATGCATTAGGGGGCTTGCAGGATCTGCGCAGAGAGAGTCCACCAGGGCTTCTGCTCAGTGAGTTAGTGGATCAGTAGCTGCTCTGTCTAAGAAGCTGGGAGCTACAGAGCAAGAAAGATCAAGGATTATTACCAGTCTAGGATTAAAGTCTGAAAGCTCTATGGAGAATTATGAGTATGAGTCCACATTAAAATGCTGCAGAAACTGGAGTCTGAGGTCCATGAGCAGTGGCAGTTCCAAAAGACACCCCCTCTCAAGCAGAGTGGAGCTTTTGAGATAAGCAGCAGCTCTCTCCTTCTTCCCCTCTTATTCCTTCTGAGCTGCAAGCCTGTTTGGCTTCTTAATCCAGTCAAGTTGGCAATCACAGTTAAGGACCACACACCTCTCATGCTGTTCTCAAGTGAGTTTGACTCATCTCTCTTGTTGCACTCTCCAGGGTGGGCTGCTCTGTTCTCTGTACTTGGTCTGTGAGTAGGGTACCATGAAGCGGTGTCATTTAGAGTTGGAACCAGGGGATGGGAAGTCCCATTAAGTACACATTGGATTAGTTTCATGCAGGTTGTGTTGTGTCCTACACTGTGGGTTCCCAGAATTCTGCTGGGAAAAGTGAATATAAAGAGTGTTGCCTGTTTCTTGGCCCCCAAAGATGGGTAAACGGGGGTAGCAGAGTCATAGAGAGCTATTTATTAGGGTTCACGGTGATAGAAGTCAGTGCCTATATCTATTGAGCAAGACTTTGAGATTTGACATTTACGATCATTTGACCTAAAAACAAACTTTTCTTCTGAACAGGTACAGTTGGCTAGGACAAATAACTTGGTGTTCTGTGGAGCAGTAGGGTAACTATGGTTAATAGCAATCAATTGTAATTTTCAGAGTAGCTAGATGAGAGGATGCTGAATATTCCCAACACGAAGAAATGATAAATATTTAAGGTGACGGATGTACCGGTTATCCTGAGCTAATCATTCCTCGTTGTGCACATGCATTGAAATAGCACATTGAAATGTATAAATATGTACAATTAAAGAAAAATGAAACAAAACAGAAGAAAAACTTTTAAAAAGCCCAAGATCACTTATAATTTCAAGCATAGTTAGTACAGGCATGTATGTGGCTGGTTGTGGAATCTCTTTATCTTCATTTCCTTTTGCCTCTAAACATGAAGTTTGCTGCCTGATCTCTGATCTCATTTGACAATGTCTGTTAGAATTTTAAATGCCATTGGCAGAGTCTCCAGTCTCATTTGGCCCCTTAAAGAATGAGGTCTGATGGAAGGAAGGCTCATTCCAGCACCCCCAAATGATCATCCCCAGAGTTCCCGAAACTGAAATGGTGGGCACAAAAGTCAGCTCTTTCTCATGAGTGTTCAAGCTGCTGCCTCTTTTTATTTGTCAGAGATTCAGAATCATGCCTGAACTTTAAGCACAGCTGAGGTGTGTGTGTGTGTGTGTGTGTGTGAATTTTATTTTACATTTGAACATAACCACGGTTGAGTTGCCCGATGTCATGAAGTGTCAGCTAGTGATGAGCTGCGGTTCAATGTCATCTAATATTAGGTTTGACATTGCTGCTACTAAACTCAGCTCCCTACAATCTATAGCCTGAAGAGCAGCCATCCACTGGGGCTTTATATGTGTCCTAGGGGCAGAAGGATCATAGTTCAAGACCCTCTGGGGTCTGGGAGTGCATAGTATACCTGAAAATGAAAAAAGACAGACATGCAGTTTCCAAAAGTAGTGATTACGGTGCATCTATACAGTAAACGCAAGGAAACAACATATGCTTCTGCGTTCTAGCTTTCATGATGATAACAGGGTTCATTTTCTTGAGTGTCACAAGTGTTTTGTGGTCTCAGCCTAATCTTAGATTTGTTTGTAAAGCTCTACAAACCCACAATGTTAGAAGTTTACCAAATTGCTCAGTCCTCCAGATCTCAGTCGCAACTCTCACTCCTTCAAATTTTAGACAAGGAGTGACTTTAAAATGCCTTTTTGCTCTTACATGTTTTGAAACAAGCTCTGCAAAAAAAATTTGTATTTGGAAGGCAAGTTGGAAGCCAGCTGGTTGAGTATGTGTGATAGAACAAGATGCTTATAGATTTGTTTTAAAAAATGAAACCTCAGAACTTGAAGCCTGACATCCTGGGGCCGTTTGATAAATCCTGATGGTTTTTCTTTTTCTTTTTCACATTTATTTCTTTGCAAGACTTAGCAGAGCTTAGACTTAGAAGGGACCTGGCTGTCTTCACTGAGGAAATAAACTTCTTGGAAGAAAATGTGGAGTGGATGTAGATGTCTTGTCAGGTGGCTACAAGCATGCAAGGGACTTTTCAGATGTCCAGTTGTCCACTCTGTGGGTTGGTTTGTGGTTTGGACTATGTTTTTGAGCTAGAAGTTAGATGTGTTTTGAGGCCACTGTCCTGTGGAGCAGAGCTCCTCTGGGTTGTGTTTGTTCCTTAATTAGAAATGTCCTCCTTCAAAGACAAAGTAAACATGGTCTCAGGTGTGGTGCTGAAGGCAGGAACCTGGGGTGGTGGGAGGGCAGTGAGGCAGTGGGGAGCTCACTCCCAGGTCTTCCTTTTAGATAAAAGCCCATCCCAGAAACAAGGGATGCTGAAGTACAAAAGCTTTTTGTACCCAGAGCACTGGAGCACGGCTGCTGTTACAGATGAGCTCCTCCAATGACTGTTATTACACTTGTCAGATTTTATTCGTGAGTTGTGCTGTGCTTGGGTGAAATAAGAAAAGCAAAGCTCCAGATCACAATTACAGCATGAAAAAGATAAAATAGTTTTTATTGTGACTTTTTGAAGAACTTGAGAATCTCTCTTATAATTAATTTGGAAAGTTGCACAGAGCACCGGGTGTGTGGCACGTGTGGAGGCTGCTGGGCTCTCGGGGACGGGCTCCAGGCTGGGTGAAGGAGAGTGTGATCCAGGAGAGGCTGCGGCAGGCGTTAGTGTAAATAGCAGCACTGACACCGTCTTTGTGTGGATCATGTTCACGTGATTATTCCGTGGTTGATTGGAGTGTGCATACTTGCTTGTTTTTTAAATTTTTGTCCTTTTTTAGAAGGTGGGGGTATGGATCATGTGGTGTGACTCGTCTGGGAGGAAGTAGGGGCATAACACAGGGAAAGGCCACTTAAAAGGTCAACTGTGTCTGCTGGTGTGTGGGACTGCTACAGAGGACCTCACAGAGCTCATCCTGCTGGTTCCATCGTAAACGTGAGCAAAGAAGCTGATGCGCTTTTTAAAAAAGCTATATCAACCTCACTGGGGAAAAAAGGCCAGCAGTTGGCTTCTTCTGCTGACACAAGCCTTAAATGTGCCTCACTTATTGGCAGATTTATCCAGAGACTTTAACAACCCGCATCGCCCTTATGCTCATGACCCCATGTGTGGCTCCAAATGGTTCACAGACTCAGTGTGAGGTGTGTGTTGACTCAGTGTCTGTTTTCACCATCCCAGCGTCTTCATCCTGAGCTACCTGGAAGCCGGAGAGAGTAGCCTCCCACGTGGCCTCTGCATGCGCTCACCCTGCACAGCCCTGTTCTGTCGTGGCACCCAAATGGTGAAGAATGCGAGAGTGACATTTTCAAAGCCATGATCACATGGGTTTGCCATGTTGGTCCTGTGATGTAAAGGTTATCATGACCATGAGTTGCCCTTTTATGGAGTCCACACTGAGGTTGGGAGGGATTCAGGGATCCAGATAAGGGGGTCATGGTATCAAATGTTGCTCAGCGCTGCCTCATGACTCACAGTGGATCCCAGGTCTGTGGACCCCAAATCTCACTTCCATGAAGGGTAGTGTT